TAATGAAAGAAGTCGAATAGAGGCCAGTGAACTATGCAGTCCACTGAAACTCGATCAGCAGGACACAGATGGACCGAGAGAGAACAGAACAGACTCAAAACACCACACTGCCATAGGAACCAAGTGCAAGTCAGTCTCTTGTTGTCACAAGACAGACCCGTGTTCACTCCAACATCAAATCACCTGCAAGACTTTACAAAGCTTGAAAGAACAATCCTTAAAAAGTTAAGTGGGAGTAAAAACCAGTTGGTGGTGTGTTAAGTTATATGATATATGCTTTAAGGGTGTAGAATATTAAATATTAAGCAGTTATAGTATTTTTCTTATCTCAAATAAATATGATGAGGGATTTTACAATAGACAGCTTTCCAATAAGGGGCATTATTGTATGGGAATATGCTTGTGTATAGAGTAATGTCCAGTAAGAGTGTAAGTAGAGGAAAAGTAAAGCCTGAATGTTGCACTGTCTACCCTCTCTTTTTAGCCTTGGAAAGAGAATATTTGCAGCACAGCCAGCAGAAGTGTAGTGTGTTTATTTTAAAACCGACTGCTTTGCTATTCACCTTTGGCTTTTCCATCACAATTTCCACCTGGCTCTTGCCTGGGTTTTAGGCCATTTCTGAGTCATCCAGTTTGAAACATTGGTCTGGGTTTTGTGGAGGACTTAGCTACAAGAGCATAGAAATATTGCAGGTGCAGTTTTTAGCTAGCCAGTCAGTTCAGCTGGTGCCTCTGATCAGATCACTCATCCTCCTCACAGATCTCTTTGATGCAGGTGCAGAACAGTGTTCCCACACCAGAGCTGAGGAAATAGATACAGAGAGGGCAATCTGACTAACTTCAGTAATCATACAGCCTCGGATAGGCCTGCATTTTCAAGGTAAAAAAGTGCATTGTGTGTGTACCTTTTTGGAACTTGTGTTCTTTCCAACCAAGCAGCACCACAGCTAGTCTTTCTTTATGTCAACTTCTTCTATTGCCATCGCTGCTCTGAGACATTAGGACTTTGCATCTCCTAACAATAGGTCTATGCACACTGAACTACAGGGTTTGCCATTCTAGTCCAGATGTTTGTCCATCTTGTCTGGGATCCTGTATCTAGAAGGGGGACAGATTATTTCTGCCACTTTAAGTAAATAGTGTGGGCAATGCCACGTATAATGCTACTTGTGGCCATGTAAGTGACTGCAAATCTGTTACTTTAAGTTGCCACATGTGCTATCCCCAGGGCCGGCACCAGCCTGGCAAGCAGGTGCTTGGGGCGGCCGCTCCGGAGAGGGGCAGCACATCCAGCTATTCGGCGGCAATTCAGCGGACTGTCCCTCACTCACGGGGGGAGCGGTCGTTTTTTTTTTTTTTTTTTTTGGGAGGCCAAAACCCTGGAGCCAGGCCCTGGCTATCCCCAGGCTGATAGTAGGCAAAGTACATAGAGTACACCAGGAAGGCTGGCAGGAAGTGGCACCACATCTGCTGTAGCAGAGCCCACACTCCAGTAGTTTTGAGGTGGTCTGGGGCCCAGCTATAGAGCTCTGTACAAGAGGAAATTATGTGCTTGATGTTTAAGTGGTGGGAAGGGCACACATTCATTCATACTGTGAAAAGTCAAAGGCACAACTATTTGTCTAGTGAGTATTTCTGTACACAATTCACTACTATCCCATATTAGAAGTTACTGAATCAGATGGATTATCATGAATAGAGTAAAAAAAGCTGGTTGGATAAGAGTAACTCATTGAAAATAGCAAGTGACTAGAACAGGTAAACTTCCCTAGTAGACTGTATGTGACACATGATCTGTATTAGTACCTCATGTTTACTTTTATCAGTACAGGTAACGGAATTGAACTATATCATTAATCAGCCCCTGGAAAGTATTCCAAAGGAACATTTGCTTTTCTTCTTGTTTTTTTTTTTTAAATAGGTATTTTCATTAGATAAACCTGATTCCATCTGAAATGCTGGTTTACATACATCATTATATAGTACTTTCAGTGGCTCTTATAATAGATTGCCAATTTCATTCTTTAAAAAGAATAAAGAGAAGAAAATTCTTTAATTTAAGTTTGTTTATTGTGGCAACATTGTTTTGAACACCAATAAACATTGCACCAAAGTGTAGGTTATTTACCCAAAGACAGTCCAGTCTTTACAAAGACCACTGTACTGGCATATTTACAGAGTTGACAATTTAACACTAACTTATTAGTGATTGTGTGGTTTAACAATCAACTATTTCACATGTCCTCAATTTAATAATGAAATAAAGAGTTCTCCTGACCCTCCCCTTAAAAACAAATCAAAATGCAGCTTTCATCTGGAGATAATTAACACTTGTTTTTTAAAAAAAACGATGAAGCAGAGTTTCATCCTGCTTAGCAGGATTTAACATAGGAAACAAAACTTTCTTAGGCAAAAGTGACAATTCAAAGGCATCTAAAATTCACTAGACATGTCTAATGTTTCATAATGAAGTTGTAATTTAGTTGCTTATTTTTAAACTCCTCCTTCAAATGTTGTGGAGTCTATTTCTAGGAGACCTGAATACAATGTCAAATGTATCTTTTTACCCATTTGGCTTACAATTGCCAGACTGATTGAGAGTTTGTCAGAAGTTATGTAATTTAGTTGATTTAAGTGTTAAGACTTTTCCAGTTGAAGACTTATGTTCTAGAAACAGTATAATGATGTCACGAGGCTAAGAATACATGATCCAGCATCACACCTGCACTTCTATACTCAAAGATTAAAAGCCCCACATTTTTGAAGTACAAGCTTAAACACATGAAAGTAAAAAAGAAATCCAGAAATGTTTACTTCTATACATACAAGTGACTAAGTTACGATCTTTAATCACTACAGATCTGGTCAGTCCACTGGACACTGCCCATTTGTAAACTGCAGTGTTCCTTTTTTATCCCCAGATAAATACTCTGGAAGTTTATGGTGTCAAACACTGTTCCAATGCAAAGGGGATCTGCATCTTCAACAACAGTCTTAAGAGGTGTGCGTGTGTGTACACACACTTAAAAGCTCCTCTCTTTCACAGAAAGAATGAGTTAATTTGTGCTGATCTGAAATAGGCTTAGCACAAACATTGTTTTCAAACCATCTATTTCTACTAAGGTAAAATAAAGGAAGCAGACTAATGTGTAATTCTAATGTATCCACTTCATATTGTAATACTGTAGCACAAACCTACCATTGGACAGTTCTAATGAGATGTCTTTTCTAGAATTTGTTTGGAATACTGGACATTTTACCTCCCTAAGTATGTAAGTAATGGTCTGCATAGAACAACCAAGTTCAGTCCTCAAAATGGATTCTAAAGTAATATTACCATCTAATCTGAGTAGGGCTCCAAATGCAAGTTGGTTTCAAATTAAAAAAACAATTTGCATATCAGGAAGACTCAAAAACTATGTAGCAGAATTGTAACCATCACAGACAGAGTGGAAGGGCAGTATATATATTCAGCAGCTTTTTGGAAATCCTTAAATGCCAAAAATTCACCCCAAAATTGCAACACAATCCAAGTGCTCACATTAATTTAAACTACTGATGCTTAAAGGAGACATTTGACCCTATTCAGTTTGTCGTTTAAAACAGGTTTTATGCTGATTTTACCCTGTCCCCCACCTTAAAGTGCACAGAATTCATCACTGCATGTGTCAAACTGTAGAGAACATGAAAACCTAGGTTAAGAGAAAACTAGCAAAATAAGATGCAGCCACATTCTTGCCTTCTGCCCAATTTGGAATTTCATCAAGTACTTAATAAAAAACTGCATTAAGCCAAGGCCACCAGAGAACGAGCTAAAAGTGCTGAAGGAAATTCTGACTACTACAGAAGAACTGATCTAGGAGATCCAGGTCCATTCCTTTTGTGGAAAGATTTTTTCCATCACCGTGAGGAAAATTTTGAACTTAATAGCCTGTATCTCATTGATTTTCAAAGCAACTTATGAAAATTGTACCCTTTGGGAAATGGCTTTCCCTATTAGAAGAAACCAAGAAAGAAAATAAAAACAGCTATAGGGCTTTTAAAGACTGGGGTTTATAAGCCTTTACTCAGTGGAGTGATCTATAAAATAGGCCATGTTCCGTTCTGATCTGAACCTGTGAAACAAACCAGCAATAGCATTTGCAGCCCACTACTGCTTCCATTAAAGACAAAGACTGGGGCTCTTGATTGAGTAATCCTTGTACAATTATGGTTGCGGCTAATAACTTATAAAACAACATCTTTAGACATTTGTTTGGATCATGAAAAAAATGTAGTCCCATCTACTTAACCACTAAGTAGACTTGGGGAATGGCCAACTTTTCTGTGGAAATGAGTATTAGCATACCATGAAATCCATATACTCTAATGAGGCTGCCATTTAAATCATTTGTTTATATGGAACAGCAAAGTTCAAACTGATGTAATTCGCTTTTTCCTTTCCTTCACGAAAGAGCCAGGTCCCCTTTGCAACTTCACCTCCTTGCTTATAATTCCAGTTGCTGCGAGCTAGTCATTAGAAATAACCTACTTCAAATGATATGTTGATCCAAAAATATTCAGTGAATCTGTTTTTCAGTTGACTGGAGCTAGCGCCTGATGTTAGAACCTCACATGGAGAATTCTCAGACTGACAAAGGAAATAAAAGATTCCTTCTAAAAAAATCTAACAAAACTGCTGTTTTCATTGACAGCCTAGGGTCAACATTCTCAATTCCACTCTGCACCTCTAAGAGGCGCAGCACAGAATTTCACTCCAGCTTTATAATACTATACCCTTCCTAAGTTTGCTGTACAAACCAAAAGGAAAAACCTTTGCCTTCAAGAATTTTTTGGATACCCAGTGAAGACTGCAGGCAAACTGCTTTTGGAGTTGGTAAGTATTAGGCCTATGAGGCAGTTATCATAATACAGTAATTTATAGGCGCTGGTCTGAAACCAAGGAATGGCCACACAGCAATGCTTGTCATTTACCTGAAAACTCTGTTGGCTCTGCTCTGCTCTGCTATACAACATTCAGAACACAAACCTTACACGTGGGGGCTCACTGCTGCACAGTACTTGCTTCAACAACTGAAAACCCTTAACACAGAATTCTGGAAAGGCCTGCAGTAGATTCAATTAAAAAAATTAAATACATAATTTTCTTCAATGACAACTCCCTGAATATAATCTGTACATGCTTTTTACTGGCCTACACACTGTGCACACATATATGCATTTCAATACTGTAAAGAAATGCCAACTTCTCAGCTATTACAGTAAAGCTTTTTCCTCAACTTTCTCTGGATTGAAAATTGACATGGAAGGTTGCAGCTTGGGAATAACAAAAGTCATTCAAGAATCAAAAGGCATACTGAAACTTCTCAAGACAGCTTTGGATCTAAAATAAGCAATAAGCTCATAAAATGGTCAAATCACTGTATGTTTAGAAAAATGTAAGAGGCAGAGTTAACATGAGTGGCACCTTGCTGCACAAGCACAGCCTCTACCTTTAATATACACTAGACTGTACATGTGACAATACTATTTACATTTAAGGAGGAACTTTATAGCTTCAGTTTCTGTCAGGTGGTTAATGTTTAAGACATTTTCTATATTTTGTTTATGAGAAATGGAGCCATACTTGTTTCAGACAGTTACTCCTTTTTAAAATGGCCTAATTACCAATTTGAAAATTAGTCTATAACTGCTATAACATGGCTGATAGTCTATTTGGCAGCTTCCATGCACTTTTTGGCTTCTTTTTTAAAAAAATATTAAGGAGACTAATATACAAAAAGGTCTATATTTAAGGTAAGTTTTGTATCTATGGAAAGGCAAAGATGCAGCAAAAACTCCACCTTTGTGTTACCATCTAGTGTCTCAGTACCGCTGCTATCACATAGGCGGATTGCAAATGCCTTAAAAAGTCAAGCAAAGTCAGAGATACAGAAACTTTGCATTCTGTTTGTTTGTGCCAAACCCATAGACTTAAAGTATTGTCTTAAGTAATACTCATGGTACCAATGTATAAATTAGCATCTCCAGAAAAGAAGTTCTCTCTTCACATTTAAACTGAAGTTGAATGACTGGATATGAAATCCCATCTCCAGGTGAGCAGAGCTGTTCAGGCTAGGTCTTCCATGTTCACTTCAGGAAATGGTTGTCGCCAATAGCAGAAGGAACTGAATTCCGGGCACAGAAAAGCAGAACTCTGTTCTTTATTGAGCAGTGGGAACACATGTTCCACAAGCTCACTTAGCCTGAAATACCTACATTAGAAAAAGAAGATGGTTATCTATTGTTGCACAGCTTTAGAAGTGTAATTCCAAAAGCCGACAGAGGCAGTGTTCCTCCAAAAGCTATTTTCCACTTTACTTTGTTAGTTTACATTTTCTTTCTGAATACATTTCAGTACATAGCTGAGGCTGAAGATCTCTAGTAGGCAGGATTTCACACAATTCCTTAATATAATATAATAAGATTTCATATTATAGCATCACTGTTACAATGGTTACTGCCTTGCTTGAAGCTCAGCCCTCCCCCACTTCTTCTGACCATTTGAAATAATAAAAGTGGTCTTACGAGGACTTGTTTCCCTTTGTCTGTTCCTGGATCAGTTCACCCTTTGGGTTCACTGTAAATATTCTGCAGTCTGGGACTCCCACTTTCGTGTAGGCGAATACATCCTGCAGAAAGCATGAACAGTGGTGCAGAAGGAAGTTATTACTCAGCTTTCAGATTCCCTTATGTGAGTGAGCATTGCTCAATAGAAAAAAAACTTTACAGAAAGAACATGAATACATTTAAAAGCAGATTGAAGTAATTGAAATTTGGCTCGTCAAAAGTTAAAGACGACATGCAAATCATCAGACATATTTAGAAGCCATAAACCTTAGACAGCATAGAACGGGTTAGAATATACAGCAACAAATAAGGTGAACTTCCAGCCAGAGTCTGGGAAGTAAGATTTGTTCCTAGGCCTTAGGCCACAAACAACAAAATGCTTCTTTGGGGGAATATTCCATTTCTGGAATGGAAAAGCAATACTTTTGGGACCCATCCCTTCCTTGCTGGTTCAGGGCTCAGCATCTGTGTGGCTGAAGACAAGACAGGGAGAGAGGAAAGTGAGAATTGTGTGAAAGAAGAAAGTTTCTGCATTAAGTTGCTATGGAATTAATAAACTTTGGCTCTCCGATACCGTGGTGAACACCACTGCAGAAACACCAAAGGATGGAATGTTATATTTATTAAAGGCCAGATTCTGAGAACATTTACATGTGAGTAACTTCACTAATACATGTAGTTCCACCAAAGCCAGTAGAACAGCTTGCACGAGCCAAGTTATTTTTAAGTGTGTTTGTATGACTGGGCCATAAAAAGGAAATGTCATCAGGTGTTTAATAAATTAAAGCTGTTCAATTTCCTTCTTACATTTTTAAAAGGACCAAAAAACCCTCTTATTTCCCTTGCTTCACAAATAAAATTTGTTTGGGTGTTTTGACCCTTCAATTAGAAAGGTGCAGACTTACATTGGGCCTGTTTCCAAAAGCAGCATAGAAAGGCTGTTTATTCGGCACAAACAAGTTCTTGATATCATTCAAACACTCGATTTTGAACTTTTCAGGCTTCTTTTCTATCACTTCCCTAGAATAAAATTTGAACACAATCACTGAATCCTAAATCACCATTTCAGAGGGGTAATTCCCCCTATTCAACTGGTGTTTGCATTCTCACAGTACATTGTGTGGCTGAAATTTCCAATGTACAGATATTGTACCAGCTGTAAGAAAAAGAAAAAATAAAACAACAACAACAACAAAAAAAACAAATAATCCACTTGCCCAAGACCAATAAAACATAACTCATTTTTTCCTTTACCGACAATCACAGTAAAATGCAGGTCAACAGATTCTGCATTTGGGCTGGTAAATTTTCATGCCATACCAAATTCATAACTGCTCTGACAAGGTCTCTGCCACCTCAGAGGATCATTTAAGCAGATCAGGAAAAATGGCAAGTGAGAATATGTAGGAACACATTAGGCCTACTCTCAGTCCTGCTCCCACTGAAGACAGTGGCAGTTTTACCAGTGACTATTAGTGGTAGAACTGGGGCCACTGCTGGCTGCAACTTACTGTGTCAGTTCATTTTTATTTTACTTTTCTTAAGACTATATTACATTTACCTTAATTAGCTATCATCAGTGACACATGATTAGTCTATTGAAGTTTCCAACAGTGATTGTCTCAGATATTTAGATAACAAATCTAGAAGGTTGAACATTTCTGGGTTCTTTGTAAGAAGTAATATTAATCATTACATTCTTGTTACAATGTAGAATTCCCAAGGTTCTAATATCACGCAATGTGGTAGTGAAAAGCTGGGAAATCCAGATTAGCTTGTGGAAGTTCAACTCTGCAGTTCTTGCAGCCATACTTCTCTGGACAGAATTTTACTGATACGTACAGAACCCTATGTTAAGTGTCAGTCATAGGATGGGAGGGAGAGGAGTGGACAAACACCTCCTTTACCAGACTGACATTTTACCTGCTGTAACAGCTTTTAATACATGCATATGATCACAAATGTTACATTGCAAATGAAACGTTTCGGAATCAGCAAATGGTTTCAGGGAGTCATAATAAAGCCATGGGCCCTCTTCAGTTTGCAGGGGTAAAAATAAGAACAACGGCATGATGATAGTTCATAAAGCAGCCATTTCACTCAGTTCCTCACACCTTTTCTATTTATCTCCGCCCACTTCCTTGCCTCCTTAGTACAAATAAAATTGCCAATAAAATACCGATGTGCTTACCTATGAAAGGCCGAGAACAAGCTGCTGGGGGACAACAACAGGGGGCCCCTGGGTAGGATTGTTCCTTTGTCATTCACCCAATGTAAGTACCCTCTTGTCATATCTGCCATTCCAATGGCACGAGCAGAGCAATACAGAAACTTGTAGCCATTCCTACGGAAGAATATTCTGCTTAGTTTATATTCCAGCCAAAGAAATTTTTTGCCAAGATCCCTGTATTATGGTAGTGCCTAGAAGCACCAATTAGGGGAGTAACCTCATTGTACACTCACCATGCACAGGTAGAGGAGGTTGTCCCTAATTTGAAGAGTCTGTAATAATTTAAAGATTCAAAAAGCAAGCCTAATAGAGAAGGGAAAAGGAGAGCAGATACTAAGTACTAAGATCACACTGTTACAGGTTAGATTTATGCACAACCTGGTGGTTCTGGATAATTGGCAAAAAAAATTTAATTTTGTAAACAAACCTATATCCAACTCTCATTCAACCCCCTCTATCAGTTATAGCAATTATTTAAATGTGTATTTGCAGATAAGGACTCCATTTCTGGATATTAAAATGTTCTGCTGTTGCTTGTAGGCAAAAATATTTGGTTACAGTATGTCACATCAGAACTGCTGAACAACAATGAGTTTTCAATAAATCTCTAAAAATGCTCCTGCAGATTTTGCAGGCATGTCTATTCATATGAAAAAAAGCTGCATTTGAGCATGAACACTGTGTTGGTCTTGTGTGTGCAAGTGGATGCAACTGCATTTTTAGAGGCCTGATGAAATTTGGCCCACAATGCCAAGATTACTGCTTCCAATGCATAAGATATTGAAGTTCTGCCCAACTCCCATTGACAATAATGGGCATGAAGAGGCAACTTGTGGCCCTTTGCATTTTATCTGAGGTCAACATGAAGGTTCCACGGCCTCAAATCGAATCTGTCAAGGCAATGATTCTAAACTTCAACTTAAAAGAATCCATTAAAAATAAATTATTTGGAAATATCCCCAAACAATTACTCATCTTGTATCCCTCAGGCACAATACTAAATGCAGTTAAATACTATTCCCAGGGCTGCTGGTGAATAATGGTGCTGTCAATATGTTTTTGAAAAGTGTCTGCCACACAAAGGACCAAATCAGGAGAGAAAAAGATATTTGTCAAGTTAACAAATTTAAACAATTTAAAAGATTACTGGACTCTATGCTTTTTAAAGAACTGAACATTTTTAAGAAGCAGGATTAATGTACATCTGGAGTTCAGTAATGTACATGTATAAAATTATGCAAGATATAAATAGCTGAAAGCACACAGTTTAGGCCCAACACTTACATTTCAAATAACTTTTACAAAATAGTTAAGTGTTTTCATGATTCTTTTAACGTATAACAGACACTCACTGCAATCTGAGGAACAGTTACAATTCTGCTTCCCAACCAGCACAACAGTTAAGAATGTCTTTAGAATTTCTGTTATAAAACTACAATTTTTAAAACTAAAATCTGAATCTATTCCTTGGAAATACAATGGAAAAGACCAAATTACCAGGGAAAGTGGTAGTTGATGGGCAAAGCAATAGCACGTGTTTTAGAAAGTTCTGTTAATGTAAAATAATTTAGTTTGTAGCAGACAACTTATTTTTCATTATTTAGATCATGAAAAGGTGGTCTAAATCAGAAACTCAGTTAATCTGATTAATTTTAATTCTGTTAGTCAGTAATCCCAAATACCCGGTTGCTTCAAAGTAAGATACATACTCATTGATGGAATGGTAGAGTTTTGCAATGCCTTGATGGGTCCAGTCCTTGCCAAGCTGTGGGAGAATTTGTCCTAAGGCATCAGACCTAAAAACAAGAACCATCGGAACTAAGTATACAAGGAGAGATTTTGCATTAAAAAAATATGTCATTGAATTTGTTTTGCAACAAATATTTGTGGAAGATTCAAAGAAACTCTGTGCAACAGATTCTAGAGGTTACGGCAAAGCTTTGGTAGCTAGTCTGTATTGAGCCATTAGTGAGCCCACTATGCAATAGCAAGCCACTATACCCAGTCTCAAGCTACCCACTGAACTGGAGGGGAAAAAATCCAGAATATCACTGCAAGCCAACGGTGCTACATTTATATTCTTTCCAAACTCTCATCATAGATTACTGTAAGTAAAAGTACAAATTACAGTCAAAACACTGAAGAACACTGTAATCAGCAGTCTTTCACTGGGATTCTCACTATGATGTAAATTTAGAGGACAGGCTGGATTCAAGCTCCCTTTGAATCACTCTTTATAAGCTCTTCAAAGGAGGGTGCTATAAACAAATATCACCCAAAATTTAAATAAAAGCAAAAATGATGTAATGGTACTTGCTTTGTTATTGTTCCGTCAATATCAGAGATGATGATTTTGTCGTTCCAATTCCAGAGGTATATTGTTCCTGCGCAGCGGCAAGTACCTTGATATTGGGTTGTAATACTGAACACAACATCATTTGGACCATCTTTGAGCTTCAATTTTGCCTTTAAAATAAACCAAAATTATTAAAGTGTTTTGCATAGTTAAGAGTTTATAAATAGCAAAAGAGCTACAGGAAATGTCGTGGGTGCTCATACACATCTACTTGTGTGATCAGATTAAATAGAATTTGTAATTATATGTTTATTGTGTCCTCAAATTAAAGCCATTTCACAAGAATCCAATGTTAGCTTGGTGCACTATCCAGATACAACAACCCACCCTCTTGCCTACCAAAAGAAACAATCCTGGTAATTTCTCAACTTTCTCCCTCTGCTAGTAAAGGAACCTATCCTCAATTTTATTTTAGCATTATTATACATCAGCAATTATCTTCTGGTTAAAAAAAAAAAAATCAATGTACATCTCCTTCCTGAAAAATCCTTGCTATTCTTTACTACTGAGTTAACTTTCATTGATGTACATAGACAAGATTGGGAAAGATACCATTTCTAGAGCTTCTAATTATATCCAAGTAGATGATAATGAAAAGGACCTAATTATGCAAGGCCATCTGTAATATCTAAATTTAGAAGAGCTCAGCCATCTTTTGTTAATACTAATCTGTGCCTCTTCCTTACCTAGAGAGAAACAGTTTGTTTTGTTTCTTGTCTACACTAGCAAAAATGGGACCAGAATTCAACATTGGTGGAGCTCCACTGATAGAATCTGTAGTGTTTTTACCACTGTGTCATCTAATTCTATTCAGAATAAGCCTGGACACAACAATAATATCAGAGGCTTGACTGCATTGCAGCTTCCACTCCTGCGACTGTGGTGAAGTGACACCACTGATAAGTTATGGATCCCCACTTTTGCCAATGTGGATGCAGGCTTTATGTGATGTTATCCTTTTCTACTTGTATATGTCACTCTTTAAAAGGACAGAAATGGAAATTAAATTCTTGCCTTGATGAGAAAGAATGATCAAATATTTTGGGCTATTAGTGCATCTAAAATGAGTTAAAATTTAAGAATCACACTCAGAATTGGACAGGACTCCTGCGCACTGCTTCAAATATGTGCAACTGGACAGTTATAAGAGTCAGGGGCATGGGAATTATAAGAGGGTGTAAAATATAACATGTTATTTAGCAATGTCCTGATATAGCGGTTTGACTATTTTCTGCAGAAAAAATATGGACTACAATTACCAGGATTATATTTGCTGGATGATTTTTCATCATAGCACAGAACTACACAGTCTTTTTTAAAAGACTGCAGCATTCCTAGATAGCACAAGAAAGCAGAGGTCCTTTAAATCCGGTTGTTCCTTGTCCAAAGTGCTAAATGTGGGACCCCATATAAGTGATTCTGGTCCTACTTTATTTTTATTAGAAACTTAAGTTCAATGGTTACTGTAGTAAGTTTAGTGAAAAACTCAATATGAAAAAAATAGAACACTTATCAGAGCTGCAACATGCAAAAATATACCACTTACTATTTGGTCTGAAGACAGTCTAAGTGACTTCTTATAAGAGATAGTGTTCCCATGGTTTGGATGTTCCACTGGGAGAGAATCTATTTTTAGGGATTCTTTCAGCTCTTGTGACTCTTCATCACTAGAAGAATCATCTTCTGTCGGCCTAATATGACATCAACCAAAATAAAAGTAAGCTGCAGAAAAATTTTTGTATTGGCTTAAAACTCATGTCTTCTCGTATGTGTAAGACCAATTATAAGTATCAAGATTTTCTGCTTGTATCAAGGATTTGCCACTGGCCTTGAGAAAATTAGCCCTTGAGGTGTACAGATTTAATCTATGGATAGAATGTGTATTCTGGGGAAAAAAAATTTAAAAAAATGCCCACACCATCTTAATTTGGCTAAGCCACACTACGATGGTAAACTCAACTACAGATTAGTGAGGTTTGCAGTTAGCATGTGTCAAACCAGGGCTAGTGTATGCTAGTAGGGTTTGGAAGAGAAGTCTTGTAACATCTTGGTATTGGTGAAGCCTTGAAACAATGCTATTTACATTGGAGCTGACTACGGTTGGGTAGGGACGTGAGACCTGTTTGTCACTACTGCTGTGCTACTGAACTAGTTACACCACAGATGAAGAGGGATATTGGACAGTACTTTATAATAATTCTTAATGACAGCTCTCTGAGAACCAAAGATTAATGGTGGGCTAATAAATTACACAATTTAGTGGCTAACCTCTTAAAGATTACCTTGTATGTTTTTATTTCTTTGCCAATTAATCTGAAGTGTCAGGATTTAAAATAATTGGAGTTACATTTAAGTTTCTTGGGGTATTCTTACCACCATAGCACACTTAGATACTTTCTTAAACCTTACTCTCATCCCTTCCTAAAATCTTGGAAGAGAGGCGAGGGGAATAAAACATTATGGGGACTTATTTTAACAGCCAGCACTAGACAGAAGTAAGTTTTGTGCTGTTTACTACTAGTCCTCAACTATTTCTTGGGTGACTGACTCATTACATTCAATACTATTTTTATTGTTTTGATTCTTGTAGGTTACCAAATAAAGGGGGCATATTGTGCAAATCCACCAATGAACATTAGGATTTTATCATAAGAGACCAACAGACACCATACACCTACATATTCTCATATGATTTAAGGAGTTAGTATGCATAGCTAGTGCCTAAACTGTTTACTTCCACACAGTTTCTTGCGGAAGTGTTGGCCAAAACTATCTGTTTTTGTTTAGTAGCTCAGAGGAAACGTTTCTTCCCACAGTAAATCCCCATTGAATTCTTTAAAAATCATGACACTATTGAGTCTGCAAAGGAATCTTCAGACAGGAACGCACCTGCTATTAACTTGTTCTTTTGTAGTTGCTGGCAGGTCATTTGTTCTTTGTGCCTCAGACTTCCCCTCCTTTGCCTCTGGTGGCTAAGATAGCACAAGAATCAAGAACATACCAACATTTTAGGCATCTGCACTGACAAGAACTAATTTAAATTTCAGACATAACCAAATAGCTATCATATAAACAGTAAATTTGCTACTCTATCTGTATGAGATACTCAAACTTGCTCATTATGGGGACTACTTCATAAGAGATCCTTTCATAGATCATTTCTCCTCAAAATATTTAATTTTGTAGGAAAATAGGAAGGAGTCTGTAGCCCAGATACTAATTAATGTAAATAATGCTCTAATCAGGCACTTTTTGGTGCACCATCTATGGTCAAAATCTTGCAACCAAGTTGCTTATGACAGTCTTAAAAAAGAAAGGATCAAATCAGTACAAGACTAGTGTTTAGTGGTCTTGATCCTAGCAGGCAAATATTCCTATAATAGAAATTGCTATTAAAATTTACAGCCTTTTCAGTAGCACTTAAGAGATCATGAATGGGCTTGGCAACACCCATCTTTAGAAGAAGTGGACCTTTCCAATCTTGGTGTTGTGGCATGTGTGCAGGAGAGTATGATGGAAATTGGTACTGCTACTGACCATTTTGTGGCAATCAAGGCTCTCAATCCAACATCTTTTAGAAACATTAAATTCACTAAAAATAAACTCTAAAAAGTGTTGAAGTTAAAGAAACGCATGTTCAAAGTATTGGAAGAAAGCTTAAATCAACCTAAAATAGCTAGTCAAAATGAGAGTACTGTAATTATGTAAGGGGCAGACTGATAGAACACTGTGCCCATTTTTCTATTTCCCTTTTATTTGCACAAAAGTTCCCAAAATACACTGCAGCTTCTTTGAAAAGTAGTTTTAACGACAATTGATGGTTTACAGTGAGGACAGCCTGAAATAAAGGCTATGTCTACATGCCCCAGCAGTGGGAACTACTGGGTGTAAACTACAGCGTGCTGTGCTGTAACTCCCTCATGTGGATGCTGGCATGAACTAAAAGGTACCCAGCATCACAAACTAGGTAATTTAATTTGTGCCAACAGCATCTACACAGTGGAGTTACAGTGTAGCATGCTAGCACATGCTGCAATTCACATCCACATAGTCCAAACTGCAGGGCATTTAAACAAGCCCCAAGATCCTTCAATCCAAATTTGTTGTGTTTAGTTGGTAATGTTACTAGTGATATTTCAGTCTCTAAACCTCAAAAGGAATTTAAATAGTTACATAATATTGATGAATAATTGAACATGCAGTTTACAGCACTGACTGCCAAAGATCTGATCAGCACATGTCTGATGCAGTTAAGAGCAAAATTTCACATCTGATTTTGATTCACATAACCATTAAAAGATAAAATAGGCTTCAATTACTTGTTTAGCCATGCTGTCCCTCTTGCGCCAGAACCACCATCTTCCAGATTTCTTGGGCATCTTGTCTTTAACCCAAGACTCTACTGTAGCCTGAAAATGTTTAGTTTAGTTAATTTGTGTGTATACACACACATATATACATACACGCACACACACAAAAATATTAAAATTATAGTTCTGTATTACTATACATACAAGTTGCATTAAAGTACAAGTTTGTGTTAGTTTACCTTAGGCAAACTTTTCTGGAACACCTGCAAGCTGAGAATCATGGGTGCAGCCAATGCCCAGTTATAGTACCTGGTTTAAGGAGATAGTGTTGATGAGAAGCTACAATAAGGACTGAATTCAGCAGAAATAACTCATTAGTGTGCAACATACTCTTTGCTTGGTAAAAATAAAGTTTGATTTTTGTTGTAGGCTGCTCATAAAACATGCAATTAATGTTTGCTTCAGGCCAAATAGTTTTCCTAATGCACACTGTTTACTGTTAGTGACAAATACTGCAAGATCTCGCTTTAGAAGATGCAAATCTGACTTTAACCTGCAATTCAAAGGCATGTTGCATGAGCAAAAGATCACAAATACAAAATACATCTGGAAATACAAGTTAGAACTGGAACTGAAAGATATAGTACTTTTAAAATGTATTACTAAAAAAAGAAAGCTATAGGACATGTAAACATTTTATAGTAATGGGAAATTACCTGTTGTAAATCCTTATCACTAGATTAGGATTGTCTATGAGTCCTGGATTTTCGGCAAATTCATTGTAAGTAATAATATGTTCCATGAATTTTTCTGCAATACAAAAGACATTTTATCAATTCAGTTAAACATTAACTATTTTTGCCTCCTCTTTTTGAGATTGCCTTTAGTAAGTCTGTTGTCTTGTATACAAACTAATAAATCCTTTTCCTTGAGCTTTCAATTACCTTTGCTGACTTGCTAACATCAGCCAAAAGAGATGCTGAAAATGGTCCACATCATAGGTGAAAAACGTGAAAGCTCCCATGAACATTTCCTCAATTGCAGAAGGGCATCACCTTCTAGACCCCCACTCCACCAGTCACAGTAACGAGAAGTAAAGTAGTACAGGAGGGAAGTGAGACTGATTTACTTTTTATTTTTAAAAAGAAAATGTAAGCGTATCAAATCATGAAATCTAAACATTGACCTACAAGTAACAATTATTTTGTGAGTGCCAATAAGTACCCATTACTGATAACAGACTTTGGCAGCAACTATGCAGTTTTACAGAAATTCAGTGTTACTGAGTTAAGTTCTCCCTCCAGCGCACTAACACCCCCTCCTCCCTCCCGGCCCTGCATGAAGAAGATTTTTGTTAAATATAGCTTTTTATAACTCAAGTCTGATTTTTATACCTTATACAAATCACATCACTAAGATATACATTCAAAATGTGTATCGATCTTGGACTTTATAAAAAAAAAATTAAGCTCCCTTTGACCGCTGGAAAGGAATATTATGGCAAAACTTGAATATCGAATAAAACAGATGCTAACACTTAAATACCCCATTATGTTCAGGAAATAAGTGACATTTAAGGAGAAAAGAGTAAGAAGCATGTATGGTTAACTTTCACTTTCTACAGAGTGTGAATAATCGAACAGGAAAGTCTAGAGACAAAACCAATGTGACTTGAAAAGATCAGGATAAGGAAATATTTTGTGAGGGGAAAGGAAGATGAATCTTCATTTCTAAAGCAGGATAGTCTAAGATGATGACATTTGCCATCCTTCCTCTTGCTGAGTAAGAGATTAAAAAGAAAGTCTATCAAGCAATGGGATACAAACACAATTTTAAAGCTTTATACAATGGCAAAGCAAGCAACGCAGAGGGAGCCAGTACCAAAGGTGGTCAGACATTTCACATATGGTGCAACAGAAGGAGAGAAATAGCTGTGAGGAAGATAGGAGTTTTTCTTGTCTAGTTTTGGACTGATCCCTCCATAACATGAATGCACATCATCTATCCTTTGAAAATGTTTGAGAGTTTTATACTGTATATATGATTCCACAGTAGTCTATTTACCCAAAGCATATAAAATACAAGGATGTTTTCGGCTCTCTCATGCTTCCAGAATTAAAAACGAAAAGCTTCATATGGCAGTCTTCTAAAATAACAGTACTAACAACCGGAAGTAACTTCATTAGGCTGTACTCAATTCGCATTTCTGGCTTAATTTGACTTAGTTTCTTACATACCTTTAGAGATCTCTCCATTTTCACTTAGACCTCCACAGACAGAAAGCGTGACATCAGGCAAGTCCATAGCAGAATCAGACATGCACTCTGTGCCACTGTCAGCAGCAGCACTTCCCACGGACTGTGGTGACTGGGAACCAGAGAGGGTATCCGACTCAGTCCACTGTCTGGAACTTGGATCAGAATCACTAAAGGAAAGGAGTTCACATTTTGTGTATGTAATTCTCTTGCATATACATATGTATGTATTTTAAGTTATATGCAACCACAGTATTACGTGCAGCACATGATACAAAACGCAGTCCCAGCACTACATATTCTTGTATTTCAAATATATTTTGTTACAAAATTAAAGATTTGTTCTACAATCGCCAAATTTTCTTTTCTGAAAAAGGAAATCTGAGTATTTGTGCACTCAGATGTTCACAGAAGGTATTTTCTCTCACTAACATTTCCTTTCATCTCAGGATTGAAATATTAAAATGGAATGTCAGCTGCTCTACCATTACTGACATATTCTTTGTGATAGGAACTTATTTTGTAATGATCCAGACCAAACCATCAGGCTCTAATAAATAGATAGAGATTATTTGTCCAATGGTCTGAAAACTGAATAGGTACACGGACCTAAAGATCAGTAATTAAATAACTTTTTTTTTTAAAAAGATAAACTCTTGATAATGCTGAAATAACTACTTTAAGCTCATGATACTAGGAGTAGTTTCTTGACAAGGGAACTAACACAAATTTACATTTGTATTTCCAGTGTTAGAATGTTAAGTTTTGATTTTATGAAGGCCTCAGTGCCACTCCAACACTTTGTAAAAATCAGGAGGAGTTTAGATAATTTGGGTATCCTAGATTATGGATGATATAGTTTAAGACTGGCAACTGCTTATCACAGGAAGGGAAGAGTTTTGTTAAGAGTTAAAGAGTTTTGTTCTTTTGCAGCTCCCAACTGCAGCTCATATGGTTAGCAGGCTTTTTGTAAGTGATACTACAGAAAGTAGAGTCTTGAGGCAAAGACAAGCGAACTAATTCTTGTTTCTTCATAAGACGATTGCTGTGCTGCTATGCTCAGAGTTGTCTTCTTTCACTAACTCCCTTTTAAGCAAATTAAAACCTTGATTATCCAGGTTCACTTATCTATAACCCTATTAACTGAAAAGTGTTCCCTGGAGCCTTGGAAAAGAGCAAGGATCAACATCATTGGAGAAATGGTTCTCTCAAGACCAACTCAATGGTCCTGTTCCCTCACTTCTTCCAAAACCAGCCGTTTCCCCACATGAAGGAACTCTACAGTTGGAGGGAGAGGCTTCAGTCCTGCTCCCAAGAACTGCTGCAGTCCTATTTCCCCGCCCACCCTCCATCCTGATCCCCCCTCCCACCATTTTCTCTCAGCCAGTTCCCAAGCTACAGAGGAGTTCTGAGCTCAACAGAGCTCAGGAGCAACTCTTCAGCTACAGAGACATCTTGCAGGAAAAGAAAAGCGGAGGGAGAATGAGGAGCAGGACAGGATTACTGGCTCTCCTATGGCTACTAACCCTAAACCACAACTTCTAAATTTTGGTCATGCATAGATCCTTTGTAGTTTTCGAGCCAGCTGGGAAAGGAGGAGCAGACCAGCAGTCTAAAAATCTGTGCTCAAGTTAGTGTTCAGGTCCAAAGCCTGCTAGCTGGCTCCCCCAGTTATCTGAAGGATTTGGATGCCCCTGGAACCTTCAAATAATCCATGCTTGGCTGTAGCAAAATACTGTTTTAATAAACATTTTCGTTAGCCTTTATTAAACTTTATTATACTGTGGAATACAGTCTCTAAGCAAACAACTGAGTGAGTCAATTATACTGGACAAAATACATGAGAAAACGCTGCACTGATGACAATCCTGCCTTTGACAAGGGGATAGACTAGATCAGCTTTTCCAAATCACCCCATGTTACCACAGGAAAGTGTCAGGATCCCTCAACATCTAGCTATAAAGAAAAGGAAGGTGGTAGCAATCCCATGAATCCTGTTTGTGATATCCCGGGGGTCATAACCCACAGGCTGATAACGTGCAGGCTTGACGGAAGAAGCCCCCTGTACTGGGCCATGATTCCATGATTCTGATGGCACAATTGCACCCCACCATAATTTTGAACTCCATCAATTTTGACAAAATTGTAAGTTTGCCCCCAGTATTCCCTCAAGCTCACATGATCAGATCCAATTTAAGAGAACAGGCATTATAGTACACAAGTTTCCTCCACCAGTTCTACATGCCACTATTTGCACTACTCACTGCAGAAATTGGTACAAAGCACCCCTGATCATATGGGATGCAACCCTTAGGCTAACAGTTAAATTCCTTAAGAGAGTAAAACTGTTAGATATATCATATTTCACCTTTTCTACTGCTACTGATTCTCTCTGAAATGAAGTAGATATATTAGATGCTTTATGACCATTTGTAAAGCCTGTAGAATTTAGATGTTTCCTTTTAAAGGTCTTCTTGGAAAGACATACTGGAGAGTATCTTAGCAGTTAAAACATTTTAACTACATAGAATATGAAAAAGGGTTAACTCAGTTACATATGTTTTCTTACGAAATAACTCTCAGTTTATATAGTAACACTAAGGATACACATTTCACTCCATGAAAACAGTGATGCCAGTTACATGGGAAAACACATTAGCACTAAGACAAATCACTGGGAATAATACTGCCTCCCAAAATAGCTATATAGTTTAAAGTTTCCCACAAGGCCCCAGCACTTTCTCGGTTCAGTTGGGATAGAAATACCACAATAGCAATCTTCCACATCATATTTCATTGTCTCTCCTTCTTACCAAAATCAGAAGCAGAGAGATATACAGAACAAGTTCAATATTGATTTATCCTATTATATACTCTAAAAGCTCAAAGACAGGCTTGAATTTTGAACAAGGATTGGCTCAGTTCTTTTATCTCAATTGGCTTACCCACTCCTAAAACTAACAGATAAATTATTTTGCAATATAAGCCTTGCCATATTAGAACACTAACTCCAAGCTACCTTTTGGGAAAGTAGAGTGCGGCAACTTCAGGTTCCAAAGCCTTCAAGTCATCCAAGTAAATATCATGAGGCCCCTGGTGTTGGCTTCGCTTGTGCACCCCTGTTGATTGTCATAACAATTAGGTGGTTTGAGATTAATACATGTATTAAATACAGTGCTGTGGGAGGCACGGTTTTCTGCACTTTGAACATTGTTCATATAGGAATCTAACAGGAATGCCTGCAGGTTAGTTGGCCTGTAGTCTGAGAGGTTTTCTGGTTGCTTTTTTAAAATTAAAAATGTTAGTTGTATTTAAATCTCAAAATTGAAAGTGTAAAGCTACAGTTTTGGGATAACTTCATCAAATTTCACAGAACCCTCTGTGGGAATGTACCAGTTCTTTTAAATACAAAATGAATACCTCTCTTTTTTGAAGGAGAGTCAATTTTTGCTGGTGGTTTTGCTTCTGAAGGACTATCTGCTAATGGGCTGGGGAGATGATCAGCATCTAATGTAGATGATTCTTGAGGGATCTCCAGCAGAGGTTCTATGACTGCAGACGCAAGAGAATCTTTAACCTCTATTTGCTTAAACAGGGGATGAGTTCTTGGCTCAGGTTTCAGTACCGTACAGACAGAATCTTTCACCAAAAAATCATCTTCAACTTCATCAGAGCTGAGAATGACCCTAAAATGAGTCTTTTCTGATGGGGTAATGGTAGCTGTTCTAGGATGCTCCAATTTTTCCTTCTTGCTTATCTGAAAAGAAGAAAGATCTCGTTCTCATGTACTTTCATGCAATATGTCATTTATTTTATTCAGCTCTGAACATTAGCTAACAAGTGCTTATAGTAATTATGCCAGAGATACTACTTTTCAAACCAAAGAAGTCAAAAGCCTGCTGGATTAAACTTTAATGTACCTTTTAGCAACTTCATATGCAGTCTCATTAATAAAGTCCCAGCAATGCCAACCACATAGGAACTTGTTCACCAGTTTCAGAGTATAAAAATCTGTCCATGTTTCTATATTCTAAGCTCATCCACAATTCAAGTTCTTCCTGAAGGCCCACCTCTACCATGTGCCTACAGGAAGCTTCCTGACTGACAAGCTTGAAGAGTAATATGTGAATATTTGTCGTCATTTTAATTTATGTTTTATACTTGCACTTTTTGTGTTTACACATACTGTATATATGTTACATCATGTCTCCTGCCCTCTACTTATTTATCTAGATTGTGAACTCAGGCCAGGGACTGGGTCTTTTTCTCCTAGGAAAGCACCTAGCACACTGTGGTGCTACCATAAATGCCTGGCTAAGACACCATTTAGCATATAAAAACGAGGAAACCTATTCAATCCCCCTCGTCACTGGTGAGGAATGTATGAGTAATTAGCACAACCTGAATTCACGACGCTGTATTAAAACAGACCTCATTAAAACCAGCTCTCCATTTCCCCATTTTGAATGTGATTAGGTCACTTTTGAAGAATTGCAGTGACAAATCTAGATAGGTTTTTGACACATTCAAACTAACCCTGACTTTTCAATTGATGAGGATAGATCATTGCTTATAGTCAAAATGTCTCCTCTCAATAATACCCCAATTTTTAAAAATAATATTCATGTACAGCCTTTTCCCAAAAGCACTGTTGTACGAATGGGCCCAGTGAACTTCACTAAGGCTCTGCATCAGAACAGCGGTCCACTCACCCAGAGCTGTCTATGGGTTTAGGGCCTAAATTTCATCATCTCTCGAGGGTACAGAGAAGGTGCTACATTATACTTCCCTGCCTCAGTTTGGACAACAGTGGATTTATGTCAGGCTTCTACCGGGGAAGGCCAGGAGCACTTATAAAGGGGGCTGTCTAAGGATATACAGATCCAGCAAATTTCTTCACCTGTCCTATTCAGGACCACTCCTATGTGGGGCTGCATTTGGTAGCTAAAAGTCTACAACGTGAGGGTGAGCAGCCATCAAGTTCCCTATATTAGAATTTGCACATGATTCCCCTGGAATGAGCCTGGTCCTATCTTTTACAAAAAAGGTTACTAGACTTGATCATTCCTCTTGCATCTAATGAGGAATTAAAAATTATCTTCTGTTTCTAGCAGCAAATTAGAGAGCTACAGGTTTTTACTCTAAAAATCATTCTGGAAGATTTTTGCAGCCCTGCTTTTGAAATCAATAAAAAGCCTTCAGCTTAGCCAGCCACAAGAGGGTGCTGTTTTCATGTTATTTCTGTTGAATTATTTACAATTGCTCAGTTTTCCTCAATAGTCTAATGTGAAATGTAGAGTTTTAAGTTTTAAGGAAGACAAAATTCAGTCACATTAAAAGTCCCAGACAGTATATAAAATTCATCTGTAAATAACTTTACCTTAGTAGATTCTGGGAATCCTCCCCATGTCCACTCCATATGAGATTCAGCTCTAAGCAAGCTCTCTGCAGGTTTCACTTCTAGCTCTGAATCACTTTTAGGACAGACTGGGTCTGAGAAAGGGCTATCAAAGTAAACACAGAAAACTACAGTATTTAAAATGCATTTGTTGTGCAGCTACTTTTGTTAGCCTTCCCTAGTTTAACACAGGTTCAATTATTCAACAACAGGGCAAGAAGCCCAGTTGGGTTTTCAGACCAAGAAATTAGATTAAAACGAAAATCACATTCAGGGGCTTACATACTGATCACACTAAACAGATTTCTTCATTGTACTTGAAGTGTTCTCAGTATAATCCCCCACCATTTTCTCTCTCTTTTTTTTTTTTAAAGTTAGATAATTTAGCTGCCATCATGAGACAGATGTACTTCCTCCTGTTAATTTAGAATATGTTTTAAATTCCCATATTCCAGACCAGAGACAGCATTCCAGTTTGCAAAGCCTGAAAAGTTTCATCCATTACTAAAGTCTTATTACTGCAAGTTAAGTTAAATAGATGGTTACATTCCAATATACAACAGCATACAGCAGTACACCCCACCCCCATCAGGGTTGAGTGGGGACAAAACTAGTAGAGCATATGATCAAATCAGGGAAAATATTGTGTGTTTACTTCAAAGTTTCCTTAGAATAATGAGGTCCAGATACATTACAATGGTATTTCAGCTTGCTTGCAGCTTGGAGACAGAACCACACCCCTCAATCACTGATGATAGGAGAATGCCTACTAATTTTTGAAAACTGGACCCCTCCTGCCCCCCCAGACCCTATCCCACCTCTTCCCCCAAGCTCCCACCCCCTCTTGCTCCTCTGCCCCCTCCCACTTCCTCATCACTTGATCCTCTCCACTTTCCTCTCCCACCCAGCTGGGCTTCTGCTCCGGGGCTGGGACAGGAGCTGTAACCTGACACGGAGCCTGCTGCCTGCCCATGAAATGCAGGCAAAAGGTGGCCCTAGCTGAGGAGGGGCTAGTGCGGGTTGATAACGTGGCGCCACCTGCCCCGGCCCATGGTGACTGGACACTGCCAGGTCCCCTTTTCAACTGAACTTTCAATTGAAAGCCAGACACCTGGCAACCCTAAGAATGCCCTGCCCCTTGAATTTGCCTTCAATTGAGACAACTTTGACAGGCAGGATAATTCAATTCTACTTTCCTAAATTACAATATGGGTACTGTTCTAAATAGCAAAATGCCTATGACCTTGTGAGGCTGGAATAAGGATGGTTACTTGAAGGAAGCATTTAGTCTTGGGATTTACAGAAAATTTTCTTTTCTTGAATATGCTGATAACATATTACAGAAACTTGACGTTTTGCTTGAACATTCATACACCCACAGTGAGTTCCTCTAGGAGGGCCTGTAAGTCCTGTTTCATCGGTTTAATGTGCTAGTTAAACATTGGTCTTTGCTACTGATTGACTTTTTAAGGTGCCAGAGATTATCACGAGTGTGATAATCATCCAAGCATTGATTTTGAACCTGTCTGGTCCTGGTTGGAGGCAGACTCATCAGAAGATCCAATGCTAAGTTAATTAGGTGCAAGAGCAACAGCTTCTTCAGCCAGAAAGCCAATAGTATCATTGCTGCTCTCTCCTTTGTATATTGTGTATGGTCCTGGGGAGTAGTGGAAAAAAGCAATTTCCCAGCTTTGGAAGAAGTCATTTCACTATCTCACATCCCAGGTCATGATACAAGGACAGGACACAGGGCAGTTTATTGCTGTTCCCGATGCAAAGAGGTCAATCCCCATCCCACCAAACAGATTTAATATGAGTGAGGATATTTCTAGGTGCAGGTTCCACTCTGCTTAATCCATCTTCTGTCATGTAAGTCTCGGTGTTCATCTCCACCTGGATTGGCAATGCAAAAGGAAACTTTGCTCCACGCAGAACCGGAGGAGGGATGATGGTTTATTCATGAAAACCCTTCAGACATTAACTATCATGACAAGAACAAGTTTGCTATCCACGTAAGGAACAGTGCTCAGATACTTCAATGAAACACTGTACTCCAACTGATGGATTCTGTATTGCACCGGAAGAAGCTGGAGGCTTGCTCCTCTTGACTGTATACTTTAACAATTGAAAAGCTCAAAGCTCCTGCTAACCATTTTGTAAGGCAAAGAGTAGGAGCCAAGTCTTTCTTCTCCTTCCCCAACAGCCACCTCCTTTGAATACGTCAACTGGAATAATTAATTGAATCAAAAGCACACCCAAAGCTTTGCCCAAATACTTTAAAAGGTCAAAACTCCATCTTTTTAAGAGGCCATGAATCCCATTGGCAAATGCAGTTAAATTCTTGTTTCCACCACCACCCTTGAAACTAGAATTAGTATTAATAATGTGCCCACCTGCCCTGACGGTTTTTTAAATTGGCTAAAGGATCCCTCAGCCACCAAAATTGCTCTCTATCCCCAAAATTGGTAGATCGCCTCATGCACTAGAGAGGAAGGATGATTTTATGGTTAAGGAACTGGACTAGGAAACAGAAGACTTGTTCAGCCCCCAGCTTTACCCCAGACTTGCTGTGTGATCTTGTGCAAGTAACTTAATCTATCTCAATTCCACATGTGTACAATGGGGAAAATATTCCTCTACCTCACAGCTGTGTTGCGAAGATAAATTCATTAATTCTTATGAAGAGCACAGATACTATAGCGATGAACGCCAAATACCTGTTAAGGCTGAAGCTCCAAAAACCTGGAGATTTTATGCAAATATAACTGGCTGCTCCTCTGCTCTGGACTGGGGGTTTGTCTAGAGTTTGTGGTCCTGTTTTAATTTGAGTAATTTGTCATTTAACTCAACTTAACAAAAGTTAGTACAAATGTTAGCCTAGGCACTTCACAAATGTTTACTCTGACACACACACACATTTGTGGCTGACCTTAGGTTGAGTGCTTTGGAATTTGCCCTCTTCTTGTAATTTATTAGGTGTGAATAAAATGATCAGCTACAGTTTTATTTTTTCCCCTGGTGAACTTTAACAGCAGCTTTTGTTCATTCAGAAAGGATGATACAAGTACAACAGTTTTTTGGGTTTTTTTCAACAAACGTAAATTTACACATAAATTATGCACAGTCTTTGAGCCCGTGCTAAGTTGCAAATGCAGTCCTGGATGCCACACATGTTGAGCACCCTTCTTTATGTAGTTTTATAGGTCAGAAGAAGTTACAGAGGTGGTGCATTACATAACATAAGAGTACAAAATCATACAGAAAGATGACACCATAAAATGACCTACTTCTCCAAAGGGGACCAGTCTCCATCAGATAAAGGGTAATGATCTTTGGAGTGATAAATCAAAGGCTCTTTCTGCTCTTCACTCTTTGGTGAAGAATTTGAGGATCCTCTGTGGAGACAAAAGAACCATTTTTGTTTTAAGTGAGTTAATGACAGATCTCCACTGGCAACTTACCTAGTGGAACTGAATTATTTTTACCAGAAATCTTAGGTCAAAAAGAGAAAGGAAGAGACTGATAGTTGAGAAAGACTGATAGTTGAGAGATAACTAAAGAAAGAGCAATAGTTCATCATCGGAGGTGCTGCTTTCTTGCCTACACAGCCATTTTTAATACCCGTAAAAAAGATCCTAGCAAAGTTTAAAAATTACCCCCACCACATATTTAACTAAACAATTTAGTGTTAATCTAAGAGATCTCACAAACATATACCAAGTGATGCCATCCTCCACAAGCTTGCTGTTTAGTATGTAAGCAAAAACTGAAATTGGGGAAAAATTCAAGCACACTGTTGATGATCCTCACCAAAAGCCTCCAAAAATCTATTAATTTAGAATACTACAACAAAGGAATGCCCAAAATAGATTTGACACTGTATTCTTTGAATATTAGCCTAGTTTGTGGATAATGCAGTAAAAAAAAGTTATTGGTAAGTCACATAGGACCTAGAAGTTAGCCAGACTAACACTGGATACTACTATTAGTTGCCTCAGGTACGTTTATGAGCAGAGGATGTAACTGGGTTAATTTCCCAACACCAGGCCCAACTGTGATTAGCTGAAGAGCGCTAATGAGATCAAAGTACATGGTACTATGACTGTAAGCTAATCACTGCATTTAATTTATAGAAGCCCCTTTCAAATATTTGTATCTATAAACATTCAGAGCTTTGTAATTGAACGAGTGTACTCAATATGATAATTATTCTTAGAAATGAATAACTTGTTCTGAAGCCAGTTTCTTCTCTCCCCTCGTCTATCCCCTCCCTTCCCTCCACCCTCCCAAATCCAAACACTAAAGCAAGGACACTAGGCCATGAGGACAAGTCTGGCATATGATTATTTAAGAAGCCATTTGATTTAACAGCTGTAAGTTTAATATGCAAAAACAAAAATTGCTTCTCCTTCATCAGCGAAATGGCTATACTGGTTTTGTACAACATTTCTTAAAGAATTCCAGTGCATGTTCTCAGTCCAAAAGAGAGATCCAAAATCTAGGTATAGTCTATGAAAATTTATACTGCCCCCTCTAGATTCCATGCACCACAATGATTTTTCCACTCATTTGCACACATCTTTCAGTCAAAATGGGGAAGAGTCCCTAGTTAGTGGGTGATAACACTGGAACATATTATGATGAAAATGTATTTTTCCACTTATTAACATAAGCAAGTATTTGTCGTTTCACTTACAATATTTACTGCTTACGAGAGGTGCTAAATTAACAGCCTTAATGACAAGTAGTATATTGGTGGTGACAATATGCTTCCTCACACTGCTCATGAGTGCATCCAGTGTTGAAGACCCCAGAAAATGAGACTGGTTTTTCCTACACATACACAAAAACACTGGGAATACTAACAAGACTTCCAGGTAGTGCCATTTGTGAGGGTAGTTAGTGCCAAGTGGAATCTATTCACAGGAACTAGACAAACAATCAACTCATTTCACATAAGGCACTGAACCATCAGATGAACAACAACTTTCAGTCCTCAGTGACCAAGAAGGTATTTGGTCTGGGAATCTTTAATATGGAAGTCTCTAGGAACCTGGTCCAAAGCCCAGTGAAGTCAATGGAAAAAACTCAGTCACTTCAATGAGCCTTGGATCATGCCCTAACAGCACCACCCTCAGTTATCTATTTTGCAATATTCACCAGCTGCCATTTCTTTCCCTCCCTCATCCATTTTATATATGCCCTAACTAAATAGGTTTAATTTAATCTGCTATAAAGTGTAATAATTTGACCTACAAAATGTTTTTAAACCAATATCTCAATTTACTGCATACAAATATGCTCAGATAGTCAAAGAAAAGAAAACCTATAAATTGGCTGTTAAAGCACAACATCCCAGTTTGGAGCCACACAAAACAGTCAAAAGCACAATGTGTCTAAATGGTAAAAGATACGTAGATGCTAGATACACAACATCCTCTATTTCTGCTTCATACATCACAATTTCAGTAACTGGCTGTTGGCAATAACTTAGCTAAGTCAGGCACTTTTGAGAACATATGTATACAATATACCACCGCATTTAGAGAGTAAAATTATATTTGTGATAAGTTACAAGAGTAACTGGAAGCAGATTTTTCTGAAGAACAGAGAGAGTTCCTTTCCACTTTACAAGAAATTGATAAAATGTTCCTTCCTGGTGCCTGCTGCTGTACTTTTGACCTTTCTATTGGCAACACTTGTCTGGCTTTTCTGGTGTTAATGTTATTTTTAAATCTGAGCAGAGACTCCTTATTAGTATTTTTTATATATATATATATATATATATATATATATATATATATATATATATTCAGAAAATACCTTGGCACTTAAGTTTATTTGGAATATACATACCTATATTTTGGTGTATATATATATTTCTGTAACTTCATTCCAAAAAAACTTAAGTGCCAAGGTATTTTCTGAATTTTATCCATTATAGAATACCTGCTAATCTGCAGATACACTTTTGAGTAGTCTTCGCATCCCCACTGAATATGAAAGCAAAGCCTCTCAACATTTCATCAGAGTTAATTGTACAACCATGATTTTAGATGGATCCATCTAGTAACTTGATGGAAAGAAAACTGAATTCATGCCTACTGTATGGCTTTTACTTCCTACTTTGTTAGAGCATGGGAACAGACACAAAGGATACAAATACAAGATCTACAATTATAGAGCTAGGTCATCAAAACCATCTCAACATTTTGGGTCTCCTGGAGTTCAGAGCCGAATTTTATTACATATCGATGGTTATGCTGTGATGCAGAAGACCAAAGACCAAGTACATTTAGCAGGTAGTTAGTACTGAACTAGAGTATCTTTATAGCAGCCCTCTTGTGTTATTCCATTTAGCTTTATCCTGTTGTAAATGCATTTACAACAAAATTCTGGCTTTATTAACAATTTTTTTGTCTCTATTGTATTTTTCAAAGGACTTAGATAACTAAAAGATAGCCTTTTCATACTCCAGAGCCCTACAACCAGTCACAATTTTGATTAAACCAGCTGCTTCAGCCCAACTTACAAACTCTTAGACTCTCCTCCAATCAAGTAATTTGAGATACATTTTGAATTATCAACAATGATTCCCGAAAGCAACTGTTTGAAGGTATGCAGCAGTCAGTTCCCAAAAGGCCACTACAGGTTTAAAGTTCCTAGAACTTTAGTATGTTTAATGTATTTTAACCGAATGCAAAGAAAAACAGGGAAAGGGAGGACTACTTACAGGTAAAATTTGCTTTCTGCATTTGTAATGGAGATTTTTTCATCTGCCTCTGCAACATGAGGCACGGGTCACTTGCTGGTTTGAACCAGAGTAAACGATGCCATTCTCTGTAATTTGAAGTCTTTAAATCAAGATTTGAGGACATCAGTAACTCAGCCAGAGGTTACAGGTCTATTATAGGAGAGTGGGTGGGTGAGATTCTGTGGTGAGATATGTAGGAGGTCAGACTAGACGATCATAATGGTCCCTTCTGGCCTTGAAGTTTATGTCTATGTTTAGGAACACAAGATTCTTTTCAGCCACCTTCTCTTCCTACACTGACATTCACTTCCTCATCCTATTAAAGACCTTCCTCCTGCTCACAACCAACTACCAGCTCTGCTTCAATGAACAATTTGTATGGCTCCTATGTTTTCAAGTTGGGTATTTATCATTCTTTCAGGTCCCAGAGCAGGTCTCTAACAAACATAGTCAAATACTGAATATAACCATTTCACGGTGTGGTAATGAACTAGTTCAATCCAGGAAACAAACTCCCCTCCTGCTGTTAAACAATCAGAGGCCTTGCCTAAATTTGAAGTAGCATATAGTGTATGTACATGTAGTTACACATGGCAGTGAAAACCTCCACTGTGGGAGGTTCAATTAGGCAATAACAGCCATCGCTGGCAAAATGAGGGTCTGGCTAGAGAATCTTGCCTGTATGCTCGGGGTTCTGCTGATCGCCATATTTGGGGTCGGGAAGGAATTTTCCTCCAGGGTAGATTGGCAGTGGCCCTGGAGGTTTTTCGCCTTCCTCCGCAGCATAGGGCAGGGGTCGCAAGCTGGAAGATTCTCTGCAACTTGAAGTCTTTAGATCACGATCTGGAGACTTCAACAGCAGAGTTAAGGGAAAGTGGGGGGGTCAGCTTTTGTGGCCTGCATCATGCGGGAGGTCAGACTAGATGACCATATTGGTCCCTTCTGACCTTAAAGTCTATGAGTCTATGAGGAAGTGGGAAATGGCTCTAGCAGTAGGAAATTGCTAGAGCCTTTTCCTGCTGCCTCCCCACTACCAGAGCCTTTCTCCACTGAGCGAGTCTTTCACTACAGCAAGGAAAGGCTCTGGTAATGGGACACTACGCTGCTAAAAAACAGCAGTGTAGATGTGGGAGGCACTGCTTGAGTGCGTAGAGAGCCATGTAAGGTATGCACCCTAGGGGTTCAGGTAAGTCTCTACACTAGTTGCTTAAGCAGTGCCTCACCATCTACACTGCTATTTATACCCTTTCTAGGTGAGCATGCAGTGTCTACACACTTCCGCAAGTGTAGACCTACAGAATCGACTTCTACAGGAAACTGCTGCTAGCTTATGTTGTGCCCATAATATAAAGGGTAGGATAGAAAATAAACAGGTTTAATTTTTTTTGATGGGCTTTAAGCCAGTATACAGCTCCAGTCATTTTTATATTCCAGATGTCAAAATGAATTCTGCTGAAATTTACTGATGCCGCTAGCTTATCTGTTTCAATATACAGGAAGGAGGTAGCTCTCTTTCTTTAGCAATAATCCAGAAGGACCTGCAAGCACTTAAATTAAAATCTGGTTTGAATTACAGAAGTCAATTTTGGGGAGTCTAATTAATATCTAATGGATCATACATATTTTATACTACTGAGTTTATTCTAGAGGTTTTTAGGTACACTACAAGCAGCGTGGTGCCAGCCAGAGATGAGGGATTGAGACATTTGAATACCACACACCAGTGCAGTAGTATCTTGCACAACACTTGTTTACTTTACCTACATTCTTTCAGATATACTTATTATGAGAGAATGGCAGCTGCCTCATAGTTAAAAGCTGCATTACTGTTTGCTTAAAGCCAAATTCTGATGCCCTTAAAATGGGGGTGGGCAAACTACAGTCCTTGGGCTGCGTCGGGCCCATCAGACCTTTTAATTCAGCCCTTGAGCTCCTGCCAGAGAACGGGGTTGGGGGCTTGCCTCGCTCTGCGTGGCTCCCAGAAGCAGCAGCATGTCCCCCCTCCGGCTCCTACGTGAAGGGGCAGCCAGAGGGCTCCGCACGTTGTCCCCGCCCCAAGCACTGGCTCTGCAGCTCCCATTGGCCAGGAACCGCTTGCGGATGGGGCGGCGCGCAGAGCCGCCTGGCCATGCTTCCGCATAGTAGCCAGAGGGGGGGACATGCCGCTGCTTCTGGGAGCTGCTTGAGGTAAGCACCGCCCGGAGCTTGTACCCTGACCTCCTCCCATGCCCCAACCCCCTGCCCTGATCCCACTCCTGCCCTCTGAATCCCTTGGTCCCAAGCTTGGAGCACCCTTCTGCACCCCAAACCCCTCATCCCGGGCCCCACCCCAACCCCCTGCCTCAGCCTGGAGCCCTCTCCCGCACTCTGAACCCCTCAGCCCCAGCCCGAAGCCTCCCCCCCCCAAACCCCAACCCTCTTTCCCCAGCTCAGAGCCCCCTCCCGCACCCTGAACCCCTCATTTCTGGCCCCATCCTGGGACCCGCAACCCCAGCCAGAGCTCTCACTCCCTCCCACACCCCAACCCCCAATTTTGTGAGCATTCATGGCCCGACATACAATTTCCATATCCAGATGTGGCCCTCAGGCCAAAAAGTTTGCCCACCCCTGCCTTAAAAGGTGACTTGAAAGATGGCAGTTTTCTCCACCACAATCAGGTACACGTCTGTATATTTAACATCTTCAGGTCAGGACTGCTTTTTAGTGTTCTATAAAGTGACATATACATTTACAGCATTATGTAAGTGTGCTCTGTAGTGTGTTGCCAGCCTGACCAGCCCCACGGGACTGATTGCTAGGGACATGAGTGATAATTTTGATGGAAGACACTAGCTTAAACAAGATTTGGCAAAATTCAATTCTGAAAGATTCTGAAGAGTGCTGGAAGAAGTCAAGATTACAAATAGAATTTCTTTGTATTTTTGAGGAAAGAACTCTTGGACTTCCACATTCTATAACTTATTGAAACCTACTCTGACTCAAGGGTACCTTACATAAGAGAAAAAGTTAATACACAAGCCACAGTACGAAGCCTTAGTGATACCACATGAAAGCATTCAGTATGTATTTAACAATTTACCTCAGATGTTGAACACCCCTCTCGTCATCAGAGCTTATTTCTATTTCAAAAATCTCTTCAACCCCAGAAGAGGAGATTTGATCTTCCTTCTTGCTATCTTGTTTGTATTTCTTTCTTCTTCGCTTTTTCTTCTTCACAGACCCTGAGGTGAACAGAGTCTCTGATTCCATGACGTGTGTAACTTCAGAGCTCTGACATGTCCTTTCATTTTCACCTGACTTCAGCAGGAGATCTTCAAACTCTTTAAAGAACTGATCCTCAGTGATTATTGGGGAGGTTGCCAGATATGCAGGAACTTTTTCCTAACCAAAACAAGGGGAATAATAAATAAGCAGATACATTTATTATGTACACACAAACAGAATAACAAAAGGTTAAATAAATGTGGGGATGCAGGGGGGTGGGAGAGGTGAGCAGCATCAAGGACTGACTGGCAGATATGGCAAATTTCCTGCTTGATCAGCAATACTGCCCCACATGACTGACTGCTGGGAGACCTTATTGAAATGAAATTTAAGTATCTTTGAAGTCCACTGCACCTAAAGGCAAAATTTACATCTTGTGGGCTGGAATTGTGTGTAATATGCCAGGCAAGAATGGACTTTAGGATACGTGTGAAGTGGATTTTCTGGGGAATACCTAGGGAGAAATTAATGCAAATTTCACACCTCTGGATATGCAGAAATCCAGGCTTTTGAAGATACGTCCTGAGGTGTGGGTCTTTGCTGATTACCTGTTCCAGACAGTAGCGGGTTTACAATGGCACCAAAGGCACCGGGCCCACACTGGGAAGGAGCCCATTATGGACTCGGGGTCTGGCTCCTTGTTCGGGGCAGCCCATGGCCAAGGTCCTACTGTGTGAGCAGCTCGAAGCCAGCAGGTCCCAGTCGCCTGTAGGCAGCTCGCCGACCAGCAGCTGGGCTCTGCTATGTGGGCTGGGAAGGGTTGCTGGCCGGTGGGCGCAACCGGGGGAAGGGGCTCTGAGGAGTCACGTCCCAGGGATCTGCCCTGCTCCCCACTGTGGCTCCAGCTCTGAGCAATCTCTGCTGTCTGCCACCTGCAGGACCCCCACCTGTGTACCCAGGGGCCAAGTCACCTGGGACTGGTGCAGGGGCTGGCAGTCTCAGACAGTTTGTGGGGAAGGGGCGGGGGGGGGGGGAGAGTAGAACAGGGGCTCAGCCAGGCCCCACCAGGCAAGTGGGTCCGGAAGGAATGCAATCTGGGCAGGCCCCACTCTGGCTCGGGCCTGGCTGATCACACCGCTCCCGAGGGTCCACATCCTGGGACTGGCCCCAGCTGCACTGCCAGCTCAGCCTAGTGGACACAGTCACCTCCCAGCAGGGCTGGTGAGTGCGGCTGGGCATGGGGGAGCGGGTCTCTGGTGGGTGCTGGGCAGTGGGGGAGGTCTGTGCGTGTTGGGATGCTGGGCTTGGGAGGGCCGCTAGGCTGTGGGCGGGGAGAGGGAGGGAAGGTTTGTATGTGTTGGGGCACTGGCGGGGGAGGGAGGCCTGTGGGGTGTGCTGTGCAGTTGTGGTGGGGTGTTGCTGGGCATAAGGTGGTGCTTTGGCAGCACAGGGCCAGGTTGGACAGTGTGTATTTGGCGACTGCCAGTTTGTAAACTGTGTGCTCACGTTCAGCTGGGCGGAGTAGGACCACCCCCGCCACATCGAGGCCCACTGCATGCGGCCGGCCCCTTACTCTCGGGGCTAACCCCCCTCACACACACACTATGCCCCTTTGCTCCCATGGGGGCCAACAAATATGTTTGGTGCCAGGCCCACAAAAGTTAATCTGGCCCTGTTTCCAGACAGTGGAGATCAAAGGCCTGAGCGGTATAAAGAAATGGCTGAACTGCCCAGCCTGGGTTCTAGTTCTGAATCTGAAACAGTTATGAACTTGTAACCAAGGTGAAAACCCAGTTAAGGGCTGACCTCCGATAAGCTTTTTAGCATGCATGTAGGTTTTTTTGCTTTTAATTTGTTTTCTCTGAAAAGTTTTGACTTTAAAAATAAATGTGCTTGCTTAGAAAGAGTTGTGTGGTAATTAACAACTGTGAGCAATATGCTGGTCAGACTCTGGAGAGAAAGCAAAGTGCAGGTGCTGGCTTGTTTAGGCAGCCTGGTTTGCTGGGGATATCAGTGTGGGCATGGAACCATGCAGCCTGGAAAAACCCTAATCAGGATTAAATGAGACACACATCTGTGCCCAAGACAGGTGATGGCTGGGAGCTAGAAATCATTAAGTGGGTGTCTTCAAGGAGTGGGAATACAGGTGCAGTTACCCTGAAACTGTGACACTGAGAATCGCATCATTTTTCTATATAGTACCTAGTATGTTTTTGGCATTACTGTAATATTAATAAGAAGTGTTCATTAGAGAGACAAGGTGGGTGAGGTAATATATATTTCATGCAATCTCAGATGATGACCCCAGCACATGTTGTTTGTTTTAAGAACATTTTCACTGCAGATTTGACAAAACACAAAGAAAGTACCAATGGGAGATTTCTAAAGATAGCTACAGCACTCAACCCAAGGTTTAAGAATCTGAAGTGCCTTCCAAAATCTGAGAGGGACTAGGTGTGGAGCATGCTTTCAGAGGTCTTAAAAGAACACTCCTATGTGGAACCCGAACCATCAAAAAAGAAAAATCAACCTTCTGCTGATAACATCTGACTCAGATGATGAAAACGAACATGCATTGGTCTGCACTGCTTTGGATCGTTATCGAGCAGAACCCCTCATCAGCATGGACACATGTCCTCTGGAATGGTGGTTGAAGCATGAAGGGACATATGAATCTTTAGGGTATTTGGCATTTAAATATCTTGAGATGCTGGCTACAACTGTGCCATGTGAATGCCTGTTCTCACTTTCAGGTGTAAACAAAAAGCGGCAGCATTATCTCCCGTAAATGTAAACAAACTTGTTTGTCTGAGCAATTGGATGAACAAGAAGTAGGATTGAGTGGACTTGTAGGCTCTAAAGCTTTATATTGTTTTGTTTTTGAATGAAGGTTTTTCTCTGTTTTTTTTTTTTTTTTTACATAATCCTACATTTGTAAATTCAACTTTCATAATAAAGAGATTGCACTACAGTACTTGCAATGGGGGAATTGAAAAATACTATTTCTTTTGTTTTTTACAGTGCAAATATTTGTAATCTAAAATAAATATGAATTGAGCACTGTACACTTTGTATTGTGTTGTAATTGAAATCAATATATTTGAAAATGTAGAAAACATCCAAAAATATTTAAATAAATGGTATTCTATTATTGTTTAACAGTGTGATTAAAAAATTAATTGTGATTAATCGTGATTAATTTTTTAATCGCTTGTCAGCCCTAATAATAATAATAATATAGTATGCTGCTCTAAGATTGTTTTTATTCTCACTCCTGACTTCAAAGGATGCTTTAAAAGATCTTATTTAAGAAATGAAGTGTGCAAGTCACATTACAGTATTCCTGAAAGCAGGACATAAGGGATCTCCATTAAGATCCAAAACAGCTTCATGTCCATTTCCCAGCTGAACATTTTACAGCAAAAAGGTAAGAGGTTCAATGGCCTTTCCTATTATTATGCAGATGTTTCTTCCAAATAACTAAATGGATCTGTAACCAGACTGCTCAGCTTTCAGAATATCTTGGCAGCCCTTTTCAGGTCTTGAACTTTATGAATATACTGTATACATGTATAAAGTGTAGTAATCTGAGACACTTGGAAACGAGCTATCTTATTAAGGGGCTGAAGTGTCCAGTGGCTGTCTGTGCATCTAGCTCACTATGGCATAGTTTAAAAGAAAACTGAAAACTAAGTGTTGGTGAGACAGAATGAGCAGCTGAAACAAAGAGGAAATATCAAATATTTCAAATAGACAGAGGACTAGAAACCAGGACTCCTCAATTCTATTCTCAGTCCTGCAACTACTTTTTCTGTTGCCTTTATGTGTACCTGTACCTACTAATAGTTATCTGGAACACTGTTATACAGATAGGATAGGCAGTAGTGGATTAACTATTGTTTTATAACTTGGTTTTAGTTTATATTAAGTGCAACAGCTGTGTTAAAGTCCTGTCCTAGACATTTAGGAAGTGGTTGTTGGGTTGGTGGTTTTTTAAACTTTTGACTGATCAATTCCCATCAGTGATTGGTTTGCTCTCTGCCTCTGCCTGCAAAAGAACTGCTTTCAGTTTTGTATTTAGTCATGTTACGTGTTATATTAAGAATATAAGAACGTCCATACTGGATTAGACCAATGGTCTGTCTAGTCCAGTATCCTGTCTTCTGACAGTGGCCAATGCAGGGCGCTTTAGAGAGAATGAACAGAACAGGCAATCGAGTGACCATTCCCAGCTTCTGGCACTCAGAGGCTAGGGACACCCAGAACACAGGGTTGCATCCCTGACCATCTGGGCTAATGGCCATTGATGGATCTATTCTCCATGAAATTATCCAATTCTTTTTTGAACATCATTATAGTTTTGGCCTTCACAATATCCGCTGGCAACGAGTTCAACAGGTTGACTGTGCATTGTGTGAAGTACTTCTTTTTTGTTTGTTTTAATCCTGCTGCCTCTTAATTTCATTGGGTGATCCCTGGTTCTTGTGTTATGTGAAGAAGTAAGTATAGACCTCTGTTATATCCCCTTTTACTGATCTCTTTTCCAAACTGAAAAGTCAGTCTTTTTAATCTCTCCTCATACGAAAGATGTTCCATACCCTTAATCATTTTTGTTGCCCTTCTCTGTACGTTTTCCAATTTCAATATATCTTTCTTGAGATGGGGCAATCAGAACTGCAGGCAGTATTTAAGGTGTGGCCATATCATGGATTTATATAGTGGCATTATATTTTCTCTTATTTTCTGTCCCTTCCCTAATGGTTCCTAACATCGTTAGTGCTTTTTTTTGACTGCCGCGGCACATTGAACAGATGTTTTCAGAGAACTATTCAAAATGACTCCAAGATCTCTTTCTTGAGTGGTAACAGATAATTTAGATCCCATCATTGTGTATGTGTAGTTGCGATTATGTTTTCCAACATGCATTACTTTGCATTTAACAACACAGAATTTCATCTGCCATTTTATTGCCTAGTCCACCCAGTTTTGTGAGATCCCTTTGTAACTCTTCGCAGTCTGCTTTGGACTTAACTATCATGAGTAGGGCTACGATTTAATCACTGGTATTTTGAGCCAAAGTCATGGACAGGTCACAGGCAAAAAACAAAAAAACCCATGGCCCATACTTATACCATAAATACCCGATTGAACCTTGGGGGGAAACCCGGGAGGTCCGCAGCACTAGCTGCGGGGGGGGGGGGGGGGGGGAGGAAGCCCCGGGGTCCCGCTGCCACTTTGGCCAGTGCAGAGGAGGGGAGGCCCCAGGGTCCCGTTGCCGCTCCAGCTACTGCCGTGGAGGAGGGAAGCTCCGGAGGGCCAGCTGCTGCTCTGGCCGCCCCAGGACCGCTGACAGGAGCCACCAAGCTGTGGCTGATCCCTCTGCCCATGGGACCACTGCTCAGGTGATCTCCAGGGCCAGCTGCACTGGCCGCTGCTCGGGCGTTCCCCAGAGCTAGCTGCCAGGGACCACCAGAGCACTGGCCAGTGCAGCTGGCCCTGGGTCGCTCCAGCAGCGCCTGGTGCGGCTGGCTGCAGGGCCACCCGAGTGGCTGGCTGCAGAGCAACTCCAGCAGCGGCCAGTGTGGCTGTCCCCAGGGACGCCTGAACAGCTGGTCCTGGGGCTTCTGGGGAATCCGTGACTTCCGCGACCTCCGTGACAAACATGGAGCCCTAATCGTGAGTAATTTTGTATTGTCTGCAAATTTTGCCACCTCAGTTTATCCGTTTTTCCAGATCATTTATTAGTATGTTGAACAGCACTTGTTCCAGTATAGATCCCCGGGGGACACCACTATTTACCTCTTTCCATTATGAAAGCTGACCATTTATTCCTACGCTGGTTTCCTGTCTTTTAACCAGTTACAGATCCATGAGGATAGACCTTCCCTCTTATCCTATGACTGCTTACTTTGCTTAAGAGCCTTTGGTGAGAGACTTTGTCAAAGTCTGAAAGTCAAGTACACTATATCCACTGGATCTCTTTTGTCCACATGTTTGACGACTCCCTCAAAGAATTCTAATAGATTGGTGAGGCATGATTTCCCTTTACTAAAGCCGTGTTGACTCTTCCCCAACAAATTGTGTTCATTTGCATGTCAGATAATTCTGTTTCCTACTACAGTTTCAACCAATTTGCCTGACAATGAAGTTAGGCTTCCTGGCCTATAACTGCCAGGCCTTCCTCTGGATCCTTTTTTAAACATTGGTGTCACATTAGCTACCTTTAAGTCATCTGGTACAGAAGCGGATTTAAATAATAGGTTACATACCACAGTTGGTAGTTCTGCAATTTCATATTTGAACACTTCGGTGAATACCATCTGGTGCTGGTGACTTATTACTGTTTAATTTATCAATTTGTTCAAAAATCTCCTCTACTGACACTTCAATCTGGGACAGTTCCTCAGATTTGTCACCTAAAAAAAATGGCTCAGGTATGGGAATCTCCCTCACATCCTCTGCAGTGAAGACTGATGCAAATAATTCATTTAACTTCTCCACAGTTCTTCCTTGAGTGCTCCTGTAGTACCTCAATCATTGAGTGGCCCTACTGATTGTTTGGCAGGCTTCCTGCTTCTGATGTACTTAGATTTTTTGCTGTTAGAATCTGAGTCTCCATTCTCTTCCTAGATATTATGGTTCTTCTTCACAAGTTATTATTTTGAGTACTAATAATGTTGATGCTGATTGTTCCCCTTTCATTGTGAATGATTCACAACCACTTTGCTTCTATAGTGAGTTTTTTATTTCATAAAAAAAAATGAACTGCCACTCTTCCCACCACCACCCCCAACAGCTAGTTCGTTTTTAAGATTTGCAAGTTTTCATGACTTCGCACATTCATTTATAATCTAATGTTTGTATTTCATTGTCCAAAAAGTGTTTACTTTTGATATGCCTCCTATTCCCTCCAAAAACACCAATGCCTGTGACCCCCCGCCCCCAAGTCCATGACCAGGATGTGGAAGAGGCTTTATGAATCACAAAATATCTATCAACTTAGACAAGCTTTGACATATGCGCATATAATGCAGTTTGCTATGAATATGAAATACTGAAGAAAGTAAGGGCTTGTCTATTCAGGGAAGTTAGTGTAAAGTAAGTAGGGTGTAAACTTAAAGTGCGATAGCTATTCCGTACTAACTTCTCTGTGTGGATCATCTTGTTCTGCACTAAGGGACTGTCTACACTGCGACGTTGTCGACAAAACTTTTGTCTTTCACGGGTACTTTAAAAAGCCCCCCTGCAAAAGACAAAAGTTTTGCCAACACAAGTGGCAGTGTGAACGCAGCTTTGTCAGCAGGAGCGCTCTCCTGCCAACAAAGCTACTGCCGCTCACGGGGCTGGAAGTATTTTGTCGGCAAAAGTGCCGACAAAACACCGATAGAAAGCGTTCACACGCGCTGACTTTTAGCGACAAGGCTGTGTCGACACAACCTTGTCACTAAAAGCTGCATAGTGTAGACAAGCCCTCAGAGTGCCTTTTTGTTGATTAGTTTAATTTGCTTTCTAAGCAGTAACTATTCTGTACTAGTTACTCCAGGCTTCCTCCACTCCCCAAGGCTATACTTTTTAAGGCAACAGATGTGTAAGCATCAAGAGCTGAAAAGCCTACAATCTCAAGAGGCCTTGGGGGATATTCAGAGGACAACTGTATCAGAAAACCAACCCACTACAATGACTTCCTAGTCTTGGAAAACAAGTTAACGAATGAAAATTCAGAGATAAGAAACTGCACCCTGCCAATGTAAACAAACCACACTGATACTGAGGTCAGTAACACAAGTGACTTGAACTACTTGCAAAGAGTAGTTAACAGTCACTGCACAGTCTGTACAGTCAACATCACCCTAAAATTAACAACATAATAGATTACTGTTCTAAGCAAACAGGGTGAAAAGTGCAGCAAGTCTTCCTATTACAGCTCTGAAAAACAAGGTGTGCTCAGGAGGATCTGTTACTTTCCTGCCACCAGTAAATGTGTTAGATACAGTATTTTATTGAACTATTGCAAGCAAATAATGCAAGTTATGAATCAGCAATAAAAAGATCAGTCATTAAAAATGCTGTATTTTAATATTGAGAACATGAGACACAGCACTAGTAACAGGATATAATTAACTAAACAATGTACTCAGCAATGTACTCTTCAAACACCACAAAACACTTACATATTCTTCTTCAGTTTCCTGTACAAAGAAAGCTTCTCCATTGTCACCCAGCTTCATATGAAGATCAACTGTGTCTCCATTAATTTCTATATCAATCTGTGGGAGCAAAGACAGTTTAATGTAGAGTATCTTCAACACAGCAAAACACACAAATATTTACCTTAAGACTGATTCCTCTCGGATTATTTTTATATGATGCCTGCATTCCACTTTATGATCACCACTCCAACTCCAGGCTTCTCCTCCCTCTTTGTGCTCTCCTACCCCACAAAAGAAATCAGTGCTTTTTTAGGAAGTAGACTGAGGTTTGAAATTTGAAAATGTAGAAAACCATCCAAAAATATGTAATAAATTTCAATTGATATTCTATTGTTTAACAGTGCGATTAAAACTACAATCACAATTAATTTTTTTAATCGCAATTAATTTTTGAGTTAATCGCGTGAGTTAACTGCGATTAGATTTTAAGTAGGACTGTCGATTTATCTTTCTGTAGTTAAGTTCATTTTAATCTTTTATCCTTACCAGTGAGTTTATCTGAAGTGCTTGGGGAATCTGCTCAGACTACAAAGGATGGTGCATATCCACTATCCTTTGTCAAAGTGTCAAACTAATTAATGAGCTTGCACTGTTCAAGAGAAGGTCTTGAGCAGTGTAAGACGGTACATTTCTGGGGTGCAAGGCTGTGGGGGGAGGGGGGGAGGGAGGATTTGCTGGTGTCTCCCCCTGTATATTTCATGAATGGCTTCGAGAGCATTCATGCAACTTAGCTGGGTATGTCCCTGGACGTTGTTGGCTGAGTGATCGCAGCACTTGGAGGGGTTTGCTCCTTGTCACTAGCACAGCATTGAGAGAGACAGCCCAGATGGAAGAGTTAAGGGGGCACAACAGTCCCACAGCTCCAGATTGCACCCCAGGGGTGTGTCACTGATATAAAATTACTCCAGGAAGTTAATTCCAACGCTGACAAAGTTACAAAGGAATCTCACAAAACTGGGTCACTAGGCAATAAAATGGCAGATGAAATTCAATGTTGATTAAGTACAGAGTACAGTAGAAGATAGTTACGAACACCTCAGGAATGGAAAAAACAACAGAGGGTCCTGTGGCACCTTTAAGACTAACAGATGTATTGGAGCATAAGCTTTCGTGGGTCTGACGAAGTGGGCATTCACCCACGAAAGCTTATGCTCCAATACATCTGTTAGTCTTAAAGGTGACACAGGACCTCTGTTGCTTTTTAGAGATCCAAACTAACACGGCTACCCCTCTGATTCAGGATTGGAAGTTGTTCATAACTCTGAACAAAATGTTACCTTTTTTTTCAAAACTGAAAACAGTTATTTTAACACTGACTTAATACAGCTTTGAAACTTTACTATGCAGAAGAAAAATGCTGCTTTTAACCATCTTAATTTAAATGAAACAAGCACAGAAACAGTTTCCTTACCTTGTCAAATCTTTTTTTAATAGTTTACATTTAACACTGTATTGCATTTGCCTTTTTTTTCTTGGTCTCCGCTGCTGCCTGATTGAATACTCTGGTGTTCGTAACTGAGTTTCTACTGTAACACATATTAGAAAACAATCCTAACATACATACAAAATGATGGGGTCTAAATTAGTTGTTACCTCTCAAGAAAGATCTTTGAATCATTGTGGATAGCTCTCTGAAAACATCCGCTCAATGTGCAGCGGCAGTGAAAAAAGCTAACAATATCAGGAACCAATAGGAAGGGACGGAAAATAAGATGAAAAAATATCAGAATGCCATTATATGACTCCATGGTACGCCCACACCTTGAACACTGCGTGCAGTTCTGGTTGCCCCATCTCAAAAAAAGAGTGAATTGGAAAAGATACAGAGAAGGTCAACAAAAATAATTAGCAGTATATAACAGCTTCCATAGAAGGAGAGATGAAAAACTCTGGGACTGTTCAACTTAGAAAAAGAGATGACTACAGGGGGATATGATAGAGGTCTATCAAATCATGAATGGTGTCAAGAAAGTGAACAGGGAAGTGTTATTTACTCCTTCATATACCACAAGAACTGGGGGTCACTCAATTAAATTATCAGGCAGCAGGTTTAAAACAAACATAAGGAAGTACTTCTTCACACAACATACAGTCAACCTGTGGAACTCATTGCCAGGAGATGTTGTGAAGGCCAAAAAATATAACTGAATTCAAAAAAGAATTAGGTGAGTTCATGGAGGATAGGTCCATCAATGGCTATTAGCCAGGATGGTAAGGGACACAACCCCATTCTCTGGGTGCCCCTAAACTTCTGATGGCGGATTGGATGCCAGGGGATGGATCGCTCAATAATTGTCCTGTTCTGTTCATTCCCTCTGAGGCTTCTGGCACTGGCCACTGTCAGAAGACAGGGTACTGGGCGGATGGACCATGGTCTGACCCAGTATGGCCATTCTTATGTTCTCCAAGAGCCTCTCAGTTTTCCTTCTCCTCCTAGTCCTAAAGATCTCATTTGCAGTGTCCCTCCTCCCAGCTAAGATGGGGTAGACGTTACGACCTCCTAAACTAGTCAATACAGTGACTACAGTTGGCCACAAGAAGTGGTATGAAGCACTTCCTCCTCCAGTGTATCGGAGCCAGTCCCGTTTAAACAACAACAAAAGAAAATACACATTTACTAGTAAAAAGCTGTCATTTGAGCAGGGCTGGCTCTAACTTTTTTGGCTCCCTAGGCAAAAAAGCGCCACCCCGCCGTAAGACCCCTCCACAAGCGCCGCGCCGCCCAAACCCCCGGAGCACCAGGCCGCCGAACCCCTCCCCTCCCAAGCGCCGTGCCGCCGAAACCCCCGCCCCCCGAGCGCCATGCCGGCCAACCCAAACCCCTGGAGCGCTGCGCCGGCCAAACCCCCGCCCAAACCCCCCGAGCGCCTCGCCAGGCCGGCCAAACCCCCGGAGCGCCTCACTGGGCCGGCCAACCCCCCCC